TGTCGGATGAAAACAGGTGGCCACTGCAACTCTGCACATATCAGAGGAGACACGTGTCTGTCTAAACCCTCCCTGAGCCAAAAAAATTGGAGAAGCACAGTGACATGGGTGCAGAGCGAACAAAAAAAAAAAAGAGAAAAAAAAAGGTGGGAGTCCAAACCTTACCCATGCTCTTTGATGACCTTGGCGTAGTTGAGTGAGGTGTTGGGCACTGAGGAGACTTTGTATTCCTGCTGGCTTGTGTTGCCAAGGTTTGGGATTGTGAGGGTGATCCTCTGGTTGTACCTACTGAGTGGAGATGACCAGTTGGCATTGCTACTAGAATGCTACATACAACTATTTACAACACAAATATGAACTTTTCTTGCTTTCACAGATATCTCTTATCAAGCATTTCTTTATTTAGTGAGACAGATTTTGGTGACTTATGAAGCTGAATCGACAGTAAAGATAAATCTCTCCCCATAGTTACCACTTCAGCATTTTACGAATTTGCAAAGCATTGATAATGTATTTTTAACACATATATTATATCCAGTAACAAATAAATGCACTAACTTTTTTTTTTCTGAACATGATTTCAACATGTATAAAGAAGTAGGGATGCATCAATCAAACATTTTCTCTTCTGATACCTCAACTCTGGTTATCTTCTGGTACCAGTTCTTTCTTTTCCCCAAATTTTAAAACTGTGTACAACACTGCATGGAACATATTGGAACATATTGACAAAAATGCAGATTTTTTTTCTATGACACTGACAAATTAACTGTATTTAATTGTGGATTGGTCATGTAATGACTTAATAATATTAAAGTCATCACAGGCCCAAATAACAATCAGACTGTAGTATCTCTGTGCAAAAGGAAAAAACATGCACACGGTGGGAACTATCTCGATGTAAATTGAAAATCCAAGCAATCGAAATATTTATTGATCAGACAGTAGTATCACAAGATACAATGAGTGTGTCTGTGTGTTTGATTGTTATTACCTGCGGTTCGGTCTGAAGAGCACATATTCCAGTGCGTGTGTGGAGCTGTTGGCGGTGGAGATGAAGCTGAAAAGAAGGAAGACGAGGTCGGGCACACCAAGCAGCTGAGTCAGCTGTTTGTGGATGATCTGTTCCCTGAACGACATCTGCTGCTGCGTGTTCCTCCGGAACCGGTACCAACCAATGACGTTCTACATGACCCAAGAAACAAATCTTTTAAAATGTGTTTAATCCAATTTAGTATCACTAATCAAACCACATTCAGGACAAACTAACAAAAAGTACATTGGCCATCACACACAATATAAAATTTCTGGGAAAAACTTCACATCATTATGAAGCCTGTATGGCCACTTATCGAAATCCCTCAATAAGAAAAAGGTAACATATCAATTTCAATACAATAAAATAAAATTCATATCTGATTTCTTCTTGGGATTCATTTTAGTGCTGCCTTGGTTTAAAGAGAACAAGAGGGAATCACTAATATTTTATAGGATATCAGTCACAATTATATATAAAAAATATTTCACTCACTTTCCGCCTATCTTTAAGAATGCTGTTGAGATTCTGTTCACTGACTTTGCCTGCGTAGTCATAAAAGCTGATGAGAGGAGGAAAAAAGAAAACAAGTAAGTTCACTGTGATTCATCATGTTCCTGCTGCTCCTTTGCTTCTGTTCCCCAATCTTGTAAGATGGGGCCATCTACTGTCCAATGTCTAATTAATTCAGCCAGTGCAACAATGGATATAAGTTAACTGAGTTAAATTGTCAGTATATCAAAGTGAACTAAAACACAGATAGTGTAAGCTACTCTGCACACTGGGACTTTTTATTGTATCATAAATAAATGCTCAGATCCCAATAACTCTGATAAAGTGCCAATTCAGCCTACCTTACTTTGTTATGCATGTTACAACAAATTGACAACAATAATATTGTCAGGATTTCCTAAACTAAACAATACCACAATGACAAATTTTCCTCCCTAAAACAGTATCTTTTCTACATTGGTACACATGATGAAATTGTGGCAGAGAGCACTGTGTCACTGATGACAATTGAAGCCATTTGAGAATTAAAAAGCTCATATCTTACCTAAACAACTGTGCACAAGGATCATGGTTGTGGATTTCTGGAACAAATAACAACAGCTGTTTCAGTTATATCATTATAAATGTAAATATTTAAAGTATAATATTTAAAGGCATAATCCATATGTAAGTCAATGTGTAGCCCAAAAACCAAAATTCAAAACACAAGGCCGCAATTTGCTGCCATTTATATTAGTATTCAAAAAAAACAAAAACACCTGTAATTTGTATGGCAAAAATATTACTGTTTTAGACCCCTTTGTTTAAGCAACACAGTAACTTCATAAAGCTTGTGTTACTGAATACGTTACATTGGCTTTTAGTTTTAGTCATCTTAATATACAAGACAAAACCACACACCAAGCAAACTCTTATTCCAACCACTTTGAATAGGGCTCATTAACATAAATCAGAACATTTCTGTGGCCGAGTGAACTGAAGCTGAGGGATAAGTGCTTAGCAAAAAGCTGCTCACTAGCATAATTTCTTAGAGTTCACATTCAGTTACATCAAAGAACACTTCTCTAACAGGGCTAAAGGGTCAGAGGAGAAATTTACAAAGCAGTAAAAAGCAACACACACAACTGAAAAAAAACTTGTAATCCATTATTGATATTTTTAATTTTTGTCATATTTTGTTGATATTTTTAATTTTTGTCATATTTTGGCAAGCTAAAATCTAATATTAATTCCTGTGGCTCTGCTGTAGTTATACTGACTGATCACCCATTTTAAATGGAGATGTCAACATGAGTAATTGTGTTTTGTTCTCCCCTCTCTTTAAGTCTGCTTGACTGATTCTGAAAGGTGAGCTTCAACAAGAAATGTTAATATTACATTTCTTCTTGGGTTAAGGTTGAGCAGTGCTTTGTGGAAGTCACCTGATGTCATCAGAGGGTATGCACTTATAAGAATGATAAATGCTCTCTAATAGATGCAACTGAATTAACAGGGGAGGGAGGCAGATGTCAGTGTGTACATGCCTACACAGTCTTGGGAAGAGCACTCAACAAGCAAAATATGTGAGAACACCTGTGTGGGCGGATCATGAGTGTACAGGAGCTTTAACAGAACTTGTATTACGTGTTGTTGTAATAAGCCAAGTATTTTTGAAAATGGTGCAAAAGGACTAAAAAGGCAATAAGCTTTTTTTTTTTACAGCACACATTTTGACTTGTCAAAGTAGAAGAACAGACAAGACAGAAATTAATCAATTGCTACTTCTTGCTTAAGATGCCAAAAAGTTTGTGTTTTGTCCGTTTCAGGGCTTACCTACTACCTGGAGCAATTCTGCACTGCTGATCTGTGTGTCACTGATGCTGACAGTCTCTTCTTGCCTCACCTCTCCTAATAGGAAGCCCTCCTGTGCAAATACATTTTTAAAAGAACTGTAGTTATTTTTTTACAATTAGCTGATCAACAGAAAATCAATTCCATTTCTTTGATTCAGTTACTTGGTTCAAGCAAAAAGGCCAAACATATTCCAGTTACATCTTCTTAAATGTAAATTCTATTTTACTCTTATTGACATAAATTGAATATTTGTGGTGTCACTTTGGGTTTTGGGAAATTGTCACAGACATTGTTCACTGTTTTTCAAGATTTTATAGACTAAACAATTTATAACCAATTAAAAAATCCTTAGTCATCCATACTACTACTCCATAGTAGTTTTAACACGGGATAGTCTACAGACTAATGGCCAGTCAGATGGATAGTAATGTTTTGGATATGATTCTGTTCATACTAAGCAACAATATAAGAATCACTGAATCATAGTCAAAACATTCCTTCATGTTACACAAAGTAACAATTCAGATTTTTGTTCTGGGATTAAACTCAGTCGTATACTTCAAATGACAAGGAAGAGCGGCTGGTAAACACAACGTCGCCTTGCTCCTTCGGCTAATGTCAGGAATGCAGGTGAACTTGTGGCCAGCAACAATCCACCTGCTCAGGTCGACTTTAAAGTCTTGTCGGAAGGAAAACAGATGTAAACAGCGCAGACGTTAGCTTAGATTACTCTACCGCTTGCGTGAAAGGTTTCTTTTTGTCACAAAGTATTTCTCTTCCATCGTACTTCTACATCGAGCAAGCCAAAGCTAAAGCAAAAATCATTTTACGCACGTCAGTCACTTTGTTAAACTGTATTGATTTAAATGCAACTCACCTTAGCTAGGGGGCTAAGAGGCTAATCTAGCCATGGCGAAACGAGAAAAACTAAAAGTTCCTAAATTGGAAATTTACTGTGTTAGCGTCGTATATTTGATGAGATATTAAACTACTATCACATATCAGGTCGAGGTGAATGGAGACATAAGCAGCGCGACACACGGAAGTCACTTGACTTGGTAGCTTAGCTAACATGCTAAGCAGCTAACTATTGAGTATTTCCTGGAGTTCAAACTTTCCCAGCACCATTCCCATATTGATGTAGCAGATATTCCTATACATGGCTCTTTGTGATTGATGTGTTAACTTGATATTTAACGCCAGTGTAGCAGGTACAAATGAGATCATCTTAAACGACCAGACCTGTCTTTATATTGCTGCAGCTACACAGTCTGCTTAAACCCTAACCGCCGGTAAATAGACGGGACCAATGCTAGCTAGCCAGCAACAGGATGATGACACTGGAAAACAACACAAACTAATGACGCTGGTGAACGATCAGGCGCATTGTCGAGCTACGCGCACTTTAGCAACCACTGCATAATAGTCTGTCAACACAATTCGGAATACTTACATGATCTGAGTTGCTGTTGGCGCTGTGATAACACACAGAACTAAAAGTATAACCTGAAATGGATGCCGCCATGATGGAAACATCCCTATCAATCCCAATGCCCCCCGCGGTTGCAAGCACGCTCCTCAAACGCAAGATCTTCTGGGAGGTGTAGGCGAATACTTGACCAGCATGGAGGACGCCACAGAAGGCACACATGGCTGTGGAAATACCTCAGAGCCGGAGGGTGACAGATGCTCAGAAAACGATTTTGGACCTTCAATACTCGGAACGAAAGACTAGTGAGTTTTGTGATCCGCTGCTAATGTTAACTTACGATGTTTGGTTATTGTCGTCAGGCTTCACAGCTACGAGAGACAACAACAAAGCTAACGGATATAACTTCAACCCTGTCAAAATATGTTGTAGGAAAAATTTTTAAGTCGCCACTTATTTTGGCATTTTATCCACGTGGCAGTACTGCAACAAATGCACAATTTTAAAGAAGCTTACACGCCCAACAAGTGACGTTAAGCGCAAGAAGTAAAGTTGAATTGTGAGCTAGATAATACTTGCCGTCAGGTAGATAAATGGAGTAGACCCGCCTCTACCTGTAGACCCCAAAAGGCTGTTTTCACTCCATTACTATTTGCCTATGTCTATTAAAGTCAGAGATTGTTAAAAGGATGTTGGGGTGATGTTTACTGTAGTCCTGAACAACAGAGCAGCAGCCTTCATGGGAGCTTGCAAGAATAACACTGATTTTACAAGACATTAGCAGTTCATATAAACTTAACATCAGGCTACTTATGCAGTATGTGTTTATTTTTTGCACTACACTATGTCATGCTTCTAATATAGCAATGTGTCATCCGGGTCTAAGGTTTTTATATAACCAATTGTCAATGACTGCCCTTTTCTGCAGTTGGGAAGATGCATACCAAAAAGAACTTGAGACATTCAAAGACATTGGGGATGTTGGTGAGATATGGTAATTATATAGAATACTGACACACTAAGAAAAATATTGCTTGAATTAACTCACATTTCCACTGGTTGTTTTGTTTAGTGGTTTGTTTTTAGTTTCTGACAATATCCTGTCACTAAAGTCTGTGTGTCTTCGTCCTCTTGTAAGGTTCGGCGAGGAAAGCATGAGTCGTGTGCTGCGATGGATGGACAAAGTTAAGATCCCAGAAAATGCTGCCATTCTGGACATTGGCACTGGAAATGGAGCATTTTTAGTTGAACTGGTGTGAACAGAGTAAAAATACATTTTGACACATTATTTTAATGGGTTCTTAATTTGAATGTTCTGAAAGGATCAGTTCACCACAATCACAACATATAGCAACATCTGTGGATTATCCAGGGTAAGGAGGAAATTGTTAATGGAAACAATCATTGTTGTTGTATTTTTCTAAGCTTAGAAAGGTACAATTTAAATGCAAACTCAGCAATCTCAAAACCTGCATGACTAAATGCCACTAAGGGTTAAGTGGAAAATATCTTTTTGATTGAGGTGAACTGACCCTTTATGAGATAGTTTGCAATTGGCAGCAAAGTTTACTTTGATGACCAAGTTCACAAACTAATTAAACTTTCTCAGACATTTCTTTAACAGATGATAAACTTTCGTAACCATTCTTGCTGTGTTTTTAATTCAAGGCTAAACATGGATACAGGAATCTGACGGCTATAGATTATTCTCCAGCGTCTGTAGAATTGGCCAGAAATGTTCTGCAGGCGGAGGACTTGACGGATATCACCGTAAAGGTGGGTTCAGCCATGTTTGTCGAACTATAGAATTACTGTACAGTTAACTTACACTAGTATAGGGGATACAAATTCTCATGTTTATTGTGTCAAGAAATGACTGACAATTTGAAAAGTAAATGTTCTAATTGGGATTTGAAGATTTGTGGGTTTTGTAGAAATACTATAAGGCTGCCAATGAAATGTCTTTTGTTATAGTACCCAAAAGCACACTGAGGATGATGGCATTTACACTTTCAATTGATCACTGTTGTGCTGTATGAGTATTTGTGGGGCTAGGTGAAAAGTGCGAATCAACATTTTATTAAATTACACTCACTCCACTGAAGTGCTGTATAACATAATATTTTAGTTTATCTGGTGGATTCAATGCCATGCACAATTCACCCATTGATACAAAATGAATCCCATTAATTCCTAAATGCCAAGGATACAATATAGCTTTCAGCATTGGAGGGTTAGAGGAAACTCTCCTGTGTTTACCATGTGGGAGAGTTGGATAGTAAGAAGGCCTTGAAAGTGATGGAAGCCTGCCCACCATTCAGATTAATCCACCCCAAACCCAAAATGACTTGGCAAGATTTAACACGTCTACTAATGTATATGTATGAAAAAAAAAACAGGTAAAAACAGGTAGTAAATGCTGGCTGGTCTATAAGGGATGTGATGAGTGAGTGTTCCTCTCCTGTGTGCATACTACACCTGCATATATGTTATATGCATAAGACACCTATGACAGTGTGTGTTTTGCTTAGGCAGGAAGCCTGCCATTGAAGTCAATATTGACCTAAGCTGGGCAGGGGGAGCACTATGTGTGTCTGTGTGTGTAAGAGAGTGAGAGAGATGATATATTGGCATCTTTGTTGATTTTTTTTTTTTCAATACTGCAGGATGCCAAAATAATAATTTGTGTGAACATGCTTGTGTTTAAGTGCATATGTAAAAAAAACAAACAAAAAAAAACATCCTCATCAGGCCATACCTCAAAAGTCAGTTTCAAATCTATGCCAAGCCCCCGTCTCTTCTCCATTATTCACTGTCCACTTCCCCTTCACCCTTTAGTATCTTCCCATTTTTTCTGTTTTTTAGGCTCGTACTCAAATTGAACCCATGTCAGTCGCAACAATATAATGAACATTTTTCTGTCTCCGCTGTTGATCCTCTCTCATAAATCTCAAATTTTGTGACCCATGGATTGTGAGTATGTGGCTCTTGAGTTCACCTCCAAGATCTGGTGTTCTGTCCAGATAAAGGGCTCCTTTCACTGGTGGTATGGTAGGTCAGCAACCCTCTCAGAATTATGTCAGCAGCTGGAATTTAGTTTTAAAGTGAGCCAATGAGGTATAACACATTTCATCTTGGTTGATGCTGAAAGGTTTCTTCTGCCGGTAACTATATAGTTAGAGAGACAGACTAAACATGAGGCGCCACATTTCGTATATCCTGCAGGGCTGATCAACAGACAGACGTTTCTTTAACTTCTCACTCTTTTCTTTATTTTAGGAGATGGATTTTTTAAACTGTCAAGGGGAGCTAAAGGACTTTGACGTCTGCATCGACAAAGGAACATTTGATGCAATAAGTCTAAACCCACACGACACAGAGGAGGGCAAAAAACTCTATGTCCAAGCTTTAAAAGATGCTCTTAAGGACAAAGGATTCTTCGCTGTCACTTCCTGTAACTGGACAAAAGAGCAGCTGCTAGACAGATTCAGTGAAGGTGAAGGAAAATGTTGAAATTAGGTCTGATCATTTATTTTGATCAGTTCTGTTGAATATTGCTGTGTGAAAGAACTGCTTAAAGTTTGTCTGCCAGAGTGTGCTGTTCTCCTAACAGGCTTAAACAATCCCAAAGCACTTTTTTCAACATATTGAATGGTAGCTCTAATTAGACATTTAAAAATGTAAATGAAAATTATGTCAAGTCATTAATTTATTGTTTTGCTCCTAAACCTAACCTAAAGATATGGCATATTTGTTAAGTGCATGTTTGCAATTTTAGGTTAAAACTCTTGGAAAAAATGTTGAAACAAATCGGTGTGATTTATAGTTTTGTTGCTCTGGCATGTAATGTCTTTATACATCTGGGTGTTTTGTTGTCTGACCCCCAGTCAAAACACAGACACAGTTCTACAACCCTGACAGTTACCTGGCAGGTTGTTAAGCTGCAGGCAACAACAGTCTTGTAAAGTCAGAATTTCGGCAAGCTTCCATTAGCTGTCACTCGTCTCAGTGTAGTCACTCTGAAGAGCCTGCAGGGGGCCAAAGGGCCATGAGATCTCATCTGTCACACTGACAGCCTGTCTTTACTCGGCCCCAGAAAGCACCACAGATGGTGGATGAACAGTTCTTTGCTCACAGTTCTCCTTAATGCCCCGTAGCCATAGTCTACAAGGAAAGACTGTAGGAATCTGTGTGTAAGGCAGCATGTTGATGTTCTGCTAGTTTGCATAATGCACATGTCTTAACCTGCACTTTTTTCTCTGTGTTGCCTCACAGGATTTGAGTTTGTACAGGAGTTGCCTACACCCAGTTTCCAATTTGGAGGCAGGACGGGCAACAGTGTGACAGCACTCATCTTCAAGCGACTGTGTTGATTCACATGTCCCTGGAGGATATTTGTCTTTTTTTTTTTTCTCCCATCAATTCTGTAGTTTTTTTTTTTTTGTGTTTGTCACAGGAAATCATACTATCTGAGTATATTAAGATATTTTTTTAATACAAGATCTGATTATTTAGGATCCTTTTTTTAAAGACTTTGTATACAGACGCAGACATACAGAGTGGGACAGTTCTCTTGAGATAAAACAAATCAGCTTTGTTTTGGTTTCTGCTAAGTATATTTATGTGACATTATTCTGTAATGTTTGTGACTCATTTATGCAGATAAATAACAAGATTAATTGATTCATTCAATTTCCCTTTAAAGGTCATTTCTATACAATAAAAATGTTGCTGTGTATCTCTTAGTATTCCAGAAATAGTACTCAAGTCATTTTCTATCAACTACTATCAACTATTTTAGTGCATACACAGGGATACATGTAACCTCCTGTTTTCTCTGTAGATTACGAAACAAAGACACAATCTGACGATCAATCTTACTGATGATTATTAATCTCGCATGGGAGGTGTGTTAAAAGTGAATGATGCAAACTAGTTTAAAAAGCTGAATAAGAAAAACTGCCGATCCTGAGTTAACCCACAATTGGATTTTGGTTAACAAGAAATTCTTCCACATGAAACCTCTTAGTTCTAATTAACACGAGTTCTCTGTGGGCCTTGATGTAATGTAGGTTCCCATGTATTGTGGCATGTTTCACATGTGAACTCTTCACCCTTGTGCACCTACTGACACTTATTTGACTGAGACATTGCTTTCCTGAGCACATTTGTGGTAATAAGCCAGACAATGATTCTGGCTTAGTTTGATTTGATCAATTATCACAGACCCAGTTAGTCAAACTTCATTGTCCCTGAGGAAAAATTCTTTTTCACATTATTGTACATCACAGGAAAAAATATATATTAAATAATTTGTACTGAACACATTTCCCCATTTCATAAATCATCTTAGAAACCCTCAAATGACTTTGCAAGGATCCTGTTAGGGGTCTGACCTACAGATTTGACAATCGCTGTTCTGTCTTACCAGGTAGTTAATTGCATCCATCTTTCATGTCATGTGAAAAATAGCCCCTAACCTAATTGGCTAAACTGGAAACCAGCAGAGCCTGGGGTCCCGAGGACCATGATTAAGAACTTCTGACAGAATGAATAAACAAAAGGCCATGGCATCTGTGAGCAGAGGAGCTTGTCTGCCATTTCCCATCTAAATGGCATTATTAATAACTGCCAAACTCTGGAACTTAATTGCGAGCTGGGCCAGTGGCCCAATGGGAGCCATCGATGTTGAGGCACACTGTTGAGTAAACACATGCAAGCTTTACAAGAATTACTGCCTGGAATTTTACAAGGCTCTGGATATCCTGCCTGGATGTGCGTATTATGCCCAATTTTACAACTCTCCCAGAGATTTTCCCATGGAGTGAAATCTCCACTGAGCTCCAGCTCAGTTACATATCCTCTCCTTTACATTTGTCAACTTTCACTCTCACTGTCTTTAAAACATCTAATGATGCAGCTTTTGAGTGTTTTTCATTGGGTCATGGTGTCATTATGTATTAGAGTTACCTTCTTGAATATACTGTGGCCCACTCATTTCCCATGCACAGGTGCTGTTGCTATGAAACCAGACTACACCACAATCCTGTTTGCCTCAGTAGAGTCATGTGCCTTTTGGTCAGTTTTTCCATGAGTTGTAATAGTGGATCCTGCACTGTAACAGAAATGAAATTAAGAAAAAATGTTTTTACTTTCATAGAACTTGCTTAACACTTGTTGTTTATAAGGAGGTTACAAATCATAAAGTAGCCTAATGATGGAGTCCTGCAGGTATTGATATGCAGAATTAGTTTGAGTAATGCGCTCCTGATTCTGTGTGCTGACATATCTATGTCCGTCTGAGATGTGCTACAGTTTACTGTTGACTCATTCAAGAAGTCAAACTGTCTCTCCTTTTAAAAAAGACTCATTTTAATCAGAAGTGAAGTTGGAACCATTTCTCACTGTCATCTTTGAAAGTAGGCTATTTTATTACCGTCCACACCATGAAGCAAAATAAAACATGAAACTGTGGATCTTGCTGGGTTGAACTCAGCTTTAGCTACAGAACATTTACTTCTGTCAGCACTTTCATGACTTTCGGGCTGGCACGCTTTTGAAGCTGCACTTTTATTCCACTCATAATATTAACCTATATGGTTTTTTTTTTTTTAGACTTGATGCCACAGCCCACTGGCTGCACCACCAGCATGAACACCACGCTTTCATTTTAACCTCTCAAGTGTGATTCTGCAAATATTTATGTTTTTTTCACCTCATCTCCCTGGAAACACGTTTGAAGCTCCCCTAATAGGATTTTCGTGGATTGATTGAATTACTGCACCATGTAGCAGTGAAGTTTTCCATGGCACGAGAGCCAATGTGGAAGTGGGAAAGACTTCAACGCTTTCAAGGCATTTCATACCTTTTCAGTAATGACTACCATGTCTACATTACAGCATGATATACAAGTCCAATAAGAAGTTAATATTGATCGATTAATTTTTTTTCTATACTTGTCTGGAACATTGTTTTGAGTCCAGAAGGGAACGAGCAAGAGGCACAGTGTTGTGGAAACTTTTTGGTTTGTTGCGTAGTGTAAAGTAAACTTTTCTTTGTGGTAACGAGATGTCAACAGCTATTTGCATCATTAACATCAACGAAAAGCATAGTAATAAAAAAGGAGCACATGAGTATTGTAAATGCCTTGGGGAGGATCGCAGTGGAACATACCAACTCTGAAGGGGTGTTAGTTGTAACTTAAACTTCGAGATGTGTGTAATGACAACGCTGGGCATTTGTATTGTTTTCAATTAATAATTACACCTGTTTGATTTAACTGTGCAGTAGCCCCCTTGGGGAAAAAAGTCTGCTAGTCGGTCATTTTCCTCCTTGTCTTCCCCCTCCCACCTCCCACCCCCCCGTCTCCCCCCCGTCTACATGGTTCGTCTGCACGCGGATATTGTTACAATCAATGCTGAGGGCTGAAAGCAGCAGCGAGCTCTCAGCTGCTCGCAGTCCTGCTGAGTCCTGCGCTGGCCACGCCGAACTGGCGGCTGCAACTGCGAGAAACCTTTGTGATTTTTGTTTTTTGTTTTTTCTGCCTTCCCCTTTGTTGAAGATGACCTAAACTTCGACAGAGCCTCTGCTGGCCAGGTAGTAGGGCATTTGTTCAGATACATGATCATTACAGCTGTGTTCAGGCATGCATCATCATGTTTCTTCTTCCACTCATGTGAAGTTTACTTTGTTTGCTCATGCTGGGTTTTTTTTTTCTCTGTGACTCAAACATAAGATGACAACCTTGTTAAATTGCATTAATTGTAATAGCATTTTGTCAGTCAGTCTCTGCTACCTTTAAACCAGATTAGGCTCATAAAAAAGTGCAGCTTTTTGTGGATGTTAAATTATTGACTCCAGTTTAGTTATTACAACGTTGCTGGACTAAATCAGCTGAGGTGAAGTTTTTGTCCCAGCATCTAAATATGACAATATGTTTGCTCGCTCAGCCTGACCAACCTGTTGCTGTATTAAAAGTTTTTGCATATGTGCTTTGAGGGGGGGCGGGGGGGGGGGTTGCACACAAGCTCTATGAGCCTGAAAACTCCCCTCCATCTATCACCCGCTGTAATAAAGCTAAGGCTGTTGTCAAACAGTACCTGTAGGTGGAGAGGCAGTGTGGTTGCACTGCAGCTCATGTTGACACACAGCTCCTCACCACAGTCTGTGAGAGGAGACGCTTTGAGTCATAAGGCCTGGTTGGATATCTCTCACCAATCTCCACCACACATTTAGGGTTTTGTTTCCTCTTGAGACTAATCTGCAATACCTAATTCTGTGCTTTTTTTTTTAATCCTGGAAAAGGTTGAAACTATGAGCCACTGGGTTCTTCCTCAATTTCGTTTCTGTTGTCTGAGCAAAGATATGAGGCTGCATCCTTAGAGTCCAATCAAAATATACACTGTTATGACTACACAGAAAAGAGTCATACTGAACACACGTACATTTATGTTATGACTCATTAATAAAACTGAGCTTACCAACTTTGATAAGAACTGATAAGAAATGAATGAATCACATCCAGGCATTCAGAAGATTCCACCCACCCTATGCCTCAAAACTGTTGTATTGTCAAGTGAAAAAAGTTAATTCCCTTCTTATAATATCTATTTATGTTTGGAAGTACTGGTGCCTATGTATCTTAATCACAGAGCAGGCTTCATACTCATCTTGCAACTACTCTATTGCCTGCTTAGTTCAGAATGAAAGCCAAGACACTGAAAATGGAGCACTGTGGCTGTGAAGCCTTTAACAGCTTATGTGTCAGTGTTGTTTCCTTTCCTTTATGGGTTAAGAAGCAACTGTTGGTGCTTATGTTTTGCCCTTTCTAATATTGCACGGCAGTTGGTTGATCTTTGTGGACACCATAAACACAGTACCATGAGGAACTGGTTTGGTACCAGGGTACCCTAATTGGAAATACCTGGAAATGTTTCTTGCTGCCGCCATAGCAGCGGTTGTCCTTGACTCGCAGGGACGGGTGGCTGGTTTGGTTAAACTAAACAAGAAATGTCAGTAGCTGTTTCAAGGATCCTGATGAGAAAACGCTCTCGCAAATGCAAAGTGTAGCTGAAATTCAGGTTGGAAGGGAAGCAGAGAGCCAGGCAAGGATTTCACTACATGTCAGCTCTAGTGTCTAATTACAAAGGGGATGTTGATAAGGGCGCCTCACAAATACTGGCTCAGAGGAAACCTGTTCTATGCTACTTCAAATCTGCTTCTCCAGTTTTTGGAGGATCATGATGTCTGCACCTTGCTTTGATTTCCAAAATAAACCAACGCTGGAATGTCACAGCTCGGTGTGAACAAGCATTTATAGCTATCAAATTTTATCATGTGAGCCTGCAAATGTGTTTTGTGCTGTACCTGTTGATTACACAAGGACAGGGTTGAGACAGATACTGGTGCCAATACCTGACTTTCTGTAGCTGTGCAAAATGCATTTTGATATCTTACTTTGACAAAATTAGCGAAATTATTTAAATCTGGAAATATCTCATTACTGACTCAGTAAAAATATTCAGTTGGCCGTCTTGGTCTTTTATTCAGACGAGGTTTGATAGATAGATAGATAGATGGATAGATGAATAGATACTTTATTTAGCCACTTCATTTGGGCCCAGTAGCTGACTAAACAGGAAGAAGCACATAACAATCTCATCGCATTCACTGATAATCACTTTTTCTTTAGTGAGGCACAACTTGATGCACTGCACTTGTACTCGACAACAGCTCTGGCATTGTTAGTCTGCACACTTGTTTTGGACATGCTATGGACATAATTTATGGAGGCAATTAAGGCCGGTGGGGTTTTTAAATAGGATCGCTCTGCGCTCCAGTGTGTGCTTAAGACGCACACATTCGCAGTGCCTTTGTGTTGCAGGCAAAAGGCCCTATTAGAGCTCCATTCTGTCAGTGTGCAGCTGTGTGCCTGTGTGCTGAGCGAGCCACTGGTCCATTCTCCATCTGTGTGTACAACTTTCACTCAGTGCACGCACTGACGCACATGCTGCCACTTTTCTCCCTCTGTCAGTTTTTCAGTATTTTTGCATTCTGTATATTTCAGTCTCACTTTTTTTTTTCTCCTTGTTTTTCGCTGCTGTTTGTCTTTCTGTTCCTCTAATACTGTGGCTCTCTTTCTTTCCCTCGTTCTCTGGCCTGAGGCATTATGCAAAGCTATCAGAAAAGGATTGTTAGCCATGCCTGTCTGTGCCTCCATGCTACTCTCTATTCATTTCAGAAGCTTCCCTTTCTTCTCTGTGACCTGCAGTCATAAGTGCTGCTGCCTCAAACGCACCAAAACTCCTACCACTTGGCTTCAGGGAGTTACAAATGACTACTTTGGTTATTTCACAGTATATTTTATTTCAATGCTGTTATTCACCATTTTGTATATTCCTTCCTCATTAACATGATAGATTTGTAAGTCTGGCGTCTCGACTCCCACAGAGCCAAAGACCTGCAGCTGAAAAGAAAAGAAAAGAGGCATTCTCACATACACCAGAGAAGCACTCCCCCAACCCCCAAGACAGGCACCAGACTCTACTTAGAGATGAAAAGCATTCTGGGATGCAGTAGGAATGCTCCCATCAACACATCCCACTGTGATGTTGCTGTGTGGTGATAGTTAGGAATCATCTTAAGTTTTTTTTTTTGTGGTGTGGTGTTGCTTTTTGACTCTCAAATGAGTGACTCTATACCCTCTGGGTTTTTTTTATCCGTGTCTGAAAAAGTGGCACTTCACTCTCATAAATTTGTTATGCAGGGTTTGTTTGTATATCCTGTGTTAAGTGTGGCATGCACAAAAGTCCGGATGAGCTAATGTTTTGTCTTTTTGTTGCGTTGTGTCATTATGATACCTCCGTTATGAATGGCAGTGGCATTCTTCCGTTTGCTCAGGATTGGCTTCTCCTCAAAATGTCAGTCGTCACGTAGCTCCCGTCTGAGTCATGTGGCTGTGGACCACCAGTTAACAGACAATCCCCCAGTTGCATCCCTAGAAAAAAAGAGAAATGAAAGCCGGTGTTGGTGTTTGGCACAGACAGCCTAATTTGATGTATTTTTAGAACCAGTTTTCCATAGTCCTGACAAAACTTAACCACCCAGCTTCCCCTTCAAGATATACTGTAGGTCTTACAGTTACATTATTCCTCATACAAACCTGACACCTAAATCCCATGAAAGTTGATCTTTGTGCAAGCCTAGGCTTGTGAACAGAGCCAGTGTGTCCTGATAATCCTGCCTGCACAAAGAAGGCCAATAATCATAGTGAAATATGTCATAACGCCTGGCTGTAGTGTGCTATGGTATATTAACCCAAAGGGTTGTTGTTAGTTGCGTTTGAGTCTGTCAGCATGTTTTACATACACCTGCAGGTCATTCCAAAAAACAGCACAAAATTGAACACCAGCAAGCAGCAAGATTTGCAACCAATTAGCTCACTGGCAGAGAATCAGCTGATGTCAGGAAGTAGATTTAGGATGGTGCAGCTGAAGATGTAATACAAGTGTTGCAATAGAATAATTTTAGCCAATCTTAATCTAGATACTGTTCCTACTTTCTCATTGCCCAGTTTATAGACCATATCACTACACAGTGGTGGAGCAACAGTTCAATACAACAGCAGTTTGGTTTGGTTTGGTCTTTATGATTAGATCAAATCACACATTCTGCCCACAGTTAGATTTTTTTTTATTGTTTGATAAAAATTAAATCATTCTCACAAGCATAACAGCTCAATAAATACAAAATGTACACAACAATGTTCTTCCTCTTTAGCTCTGCAGAATGGAGAACTCAAAATATTTTTCATTTTACACTATTTTTAGTTGCGTAAACAGTATAGTCTGTATTTGGTGTTTTAGTGAAAACACCCAATAAAACGGCACCCCTTCCCTTGACTTCCAAATCTTGAATCGCATCCTACTACACACTATGCCGAGCAGTCAGAGGGTCCATATGGTGAGCTGAACCCCCTCGTGAATGAATGAGTGGACCGAAGGAATGCTGCTCATAGTTTTCTTTCTGACATTCTCCCACCCATACACACTCTCAACTCACCCACAATGCACCTCCACAACTTGAGCGTGGCATTATGTAACGGCAGCAATGTCCCAGTATTGGTTGATTGGTAGTGACAACCTGTATAACATCACTTGCTTACACAACGTAGGAGTGGTCCCTCTTATTGAGCTGAGCAATTGCAGGGGATTGCTAGGAGCACTGGAGGCTCCCATGTAATGTATCCCTGATGGATTAAGGCTCTGCTTTGTGTGTACAGAAGAAACAGGCACTCATGGATAATGGAAGAAACCACAGGCGGAAAGGCAAGGATTGATATGGGGGGGGGGGGGGTAATTAGAGGGGGACCTGATGTATGGAGAGCCATGGCATGCGAGGGTCACTCCAGGGGGCAAGAGGGCCCCATGCCTTCCTTTACTCAAACTGAAACACCTGATGCTACGCCTGTCAAACTTCTTATGGTTTCAGCTAAGTAAGTCCTGGTCTGAGACACAGGGGACGTGTATAAATTTCAGGCTGCCTAAATAGAGAAGCTGTGTTGTGTTTGCAGGTTGTTCAATATCCAGTTTCCTATA